CTGTGGCTTCAATTAGAACTTGGCTGTTATAATTATCAGGGCCTTTTAAACAGCTCTCAAGTCCCTTTTAGAAAAAACAGAACACACAATTAGATGTCGTTTTATACAAAAAAGTACAAAGACCAAAGCACCAAACTATTTTTTCCAGCTACTTATTACATCTTATGCTGCTTAAGGGTGTAATGCACTACGTGCTTCTTGCTAACAGTACAGGCAGTCCTCAGACTTACAACACAATAGTTTCCTGAAAACTGCGTCTTAAGTCGAAACATCAAGAGTTGGAACCAATTTTCCCATAGGAATAATATTATAAAAAGGGGATTGGTTTCTTTACCACCATCAAGACAGCTGCATAGAGCTGGTAAATCTGTTGTGATGGGGGTAAGAGGGGAGGAAAAGAGTGGGGGGGGCAAATCAGTTCCCCCACAGCATGGGAGGAATTGGGGCTGAGACCAGGGCTGGTGCAAGCACTGCCCGGGGAAGGGTTGGGGCATCTAGCGCCACTGCTCACCGCTGGTCAGGGAGCTGCTCATGTGACAGCTTGTCCAGCAGCCCTTGCCACTGCTCCCACTGCCAGTCCAGGAGGGCATGGGGTGGGGGCATGTGCCCCAGGATCTGCACACAGAGGCCAAAGCTGGGGCTATACTGGGCTGCACTCCAGGCAGAAGGCACTGGGAACAGAGCCTATGCCTCCCTGCTGCTCACCCAGCCAGCGCAGGCCCAGTGCGAGACTGAGTCACTGCCTCCGGAGAAGTGGCACACAGTGACAGAAGCTGGCCTGGCCTCCTCACGCCTCCCAGACGAGCAAGGGCTTTGCCCCAGCTGGGCAACCAGTGGCAGGGCATGGCAGGGACATATGCCTCCAGATCAGGGCAAGGCAGGGCGGGTGGCGGAGTGAAGACTAACAGAGGCTGCAGCGAGTTTTCGGGTGGCACATGCCACCGCTCGCCCAGCAAGGGCAAAGCTTCTGCTCAGTCAGGAGGCATGGGGAAGTCAGACCAGCTCTGTAGGCTTGTCCATAGGCAGTGCAGCTGCTTAGTCTCACACCAGCCCTGCACTGGCTGGGCAAGCGGCAGGGGGGCATAGCCCCTGCTCCCAGCACCTGCCACCGCCCTGACTCCGCTCCCCCGCACAGATCCTGCGGCACACGCCCCTGCCCCATGCCCTCCCCGATAGCGGTGGGGGCAGCAGTGACAACCACCGGGTGAGCCACCACACAAGCAGCTCCCTGACTGGTGGCGCACAGCAACGCAAGCTGCCCCAGCCCTGGTCCCTCCTTCGCTGTGGGGAGGCACTGATCTGTGCCCACATGCCCCTGCCCTCCCCCCACCACAACAGACTTAACAGCTGGAGGCAGCTGTGTCAACTGTCATAAAGGCAAAACTGGCGTGGGAACCTTGAAACAGGGTGTCAATTTACAAATGTTGTAAATGCCGTTTGTCATCACTCAATGTTGCAAGTCGAGGACTGCCTGCAGGCAAATTTCCTAAAGAAACTGATGAGGCTAAAAGGCCATGGCTACATGCTAAGCTTACTGTATCTAACAGCAGCATTCTCAACCTGGTGTCCCATCAGGCAGTGTAGCCACATCCTCACGACACTGGGGAAGTTCTAGCTAGTACTCTTGAGTGACAGGCCAATTAGCCTGCCCCAGTGCTAACTAATCTAGATATACTTCAATGTGGGCAGAGCTACTCTGCTTCTCATTTAGGAGGTAGCCTGCCCAAAGCAACCCTTGAGAAATCTAATTCTGAACACGATACATATACCACACAGACATGGCCAAAGATTAGGCACCTTAGGTAAAGGATGCCATAAAGCACTGTTAAAGTATCTTAGGGAATTATGTTAAAATTACAAATGAGAAAGCAATATGAGAAAACTCCTTGTTTTGCTCTGCAAATTTATGGATAAAGACACTAGTTCCAGTTTCAAAATGCTTTAAAATCAGAGCTACCAGAGCAGCCCCTGTTAGCCTCCACTCTGCCACCTGCCCCGCCTTGCCCTGATCCGGAGGCATATGCCTCTGCCATGCCCTGCCACTGGTAGCTTGACCACAATATGGATGGACCTCCACTATCCTTTTGTGTACCTAAGTCAGAATATGAAAGTTAATTCATCTCTTAAGATCTGTTTTTAAAAAAAAAAAAAAAACCGTCCTAGGGCTATATCTACAAAAGGATTCAGATGCCCCTATCCCAGCTACATGCCACAGTAGGTACTCAAGTCAAGAATTTAGATCCTCAACCCCCCACTAATCAGCAGCTTCCTAAGCACCTATATTTTTTTTTTTACCAGTAACATTCTCTGTTCCTAAAAGTCTGATTCTGGGCATGTGCAAAACTGATTTCAAAGTCCCAGAGGGATCCACAAACTAGGTGTTTCTCCACCTATACCAAATGCAGAGCCTGAGGTGACAGACATGCTCAGAATACTCCCATTGGGTCAGGTTCTGTAACAAAACACAGTTGGTGAATCCCTTGAATCAAATAGTTCAGTGGCTAGATAACTGAGAAGGATACAGGGGACCCAAATCCAATTCCCTTAGCTTAGTCTGTTGCAGCTTGTCTCTACGTGTATCTTAGTGTAAGATCCTTGAGCAGAACTATGGGTTAGATCCAATGAAGGACTTGAACAGTTAAAAATTAGACACTTCAACACCAAATTTTAATGCACCTGACACACAGAATGAAATCCAGAACTTTGAGTTAGGAAATCAAGACACTGTACTACTTATGGGGATAGATAGGCATCTCAGACTAGCAATCCGAAAAACCCACACTCTGAGCAGGGAAATACCTAGAGCAGGGTTGCCAAGCTTACCCTGGGCTGCATCTGAATCTTGGGGCTCCTCCCAGGTATGTGGGAGCAGCAGGTCTGGGGGTAGTGGCAGGGATTCAGGGGTCAGTGACATGGAAGCCAAGTGCCAGCAGTGAGGATCTGGTGGCTGCAGGGTGCCCTCAGATGCCCCACTGTGGCCAATGACCATGTCCACTGGTGACAAGGGTCTCAAATTCTGCAGGAGGTAGCAGTACCTAGCCCCATCCCAACTTCCAGAAGCCCTCCAGCAGCTTAGTGGGCCAGACACAATGGCTCCGCAAGCTGAATTCACCCCACAGGCCATACGCTTGACACTCCTGGCCTACAGCTACCTAACAGGTGACACTAATCACAGAGGGCATTTGTACATATGCATGTGCTGCAGCAACGGGCACTTTGAAAAGCACTTGGCACTGCAGCACATACAGTTGTGTAAGTGACTAAATGCCTGTCAGCACTGAAAAAATGGCAGCAGCACACTTTTGAACTAAAACGCAACAGAGGTGCTTTAGTTCAAAAGTGTACTGCCGCCATTTTCTGCGTGCTGATGCACATTTCACTGCTTATACAATTGCACACAGAGCAGTGCAGTTTGCATCAGCTCACATGCGGAGCAGACTCAATTAATCTGCCATTCTGCCACACAACTCTGCCTGGTTCTGCTCCACCCAGGCAGATGCTAGTTACTTCCCTGATGCAGCAGCCGCACAATGCTGCAGCCTTCATCTACGCTGCCTGCCAGAGCTGCTGCCTTGAGTGGACAGCAGTGAGTTGGGAGGTAAATGGTAAATGTAAATCAGTATAAATATAATTACCCGTGACAGAACACCCCTTTGGGTGTCTGTCAATTTAAGGGCTGAAGCAGGGAGTTGCTAGGTGGCTGATGAGCGACCATTTTTGGAGAGCTCTATTATAAGAGCAGAGCAGTTTGTGTTCACCTGCTGGGGGAGTAACATTGCCCAGCGGAGCTCCCATTCCAGGAACATCTTGGAGGTAAGGGTAAGGCTATGGGGAAGGAGGCCTCATTGGTCCTGGACATGACCTAAAACTGCACCCTGCCAGGATAAGGAGGCCTGATGGGCCTGCCTGTGGCAGGGCAGGGTCACCCAAATGCCAGGACTGAGAACCTACCCAGTGCAAGGCAGGTGAAGGTGCCTATACACCTGCCCCCACCTTCAGGTGGTAACAGAGAGAGTCAGCTTAGGAGAAGCGCCTGAGTCCCATGGGGTGTTGGACCCTGAAGGTGGGCCAGGCACGCTCAAAGAGAAGCACCTGAGCCCAAGGGGGTGTAAGACCCCAGTCCCTGAGAGTGGCAGGGTGGAGTTGTGGGGCCACTTAAGCTCAGGGAAGAGCAGATGAGTCCCAAGGAGGTGGAAGACCCAGGCCCCAGTGGTCCAGTGAGGGGCCAGGGGTGAAGTAGGTCCATAGTTGAGCAATCGCTCAGTCCTGTTCAGGTGAGGGTCATAGGAGAGGCCCAAAAGATTGTGCCAGGGTTGACCGCATGGTGGAGAGTAAAGCCTGAGGATCTCAGTGAGTAGAGTGGTGTGAATGTGTCCTGGATAGGTGGTATGCAAGAGACCAGGTGAGAGCCGGCAGAGTATATGAGAGTATGCAAGAGGGGGGTGGTGTGTGTGGCCTGAGAAGGCAGCAGGGGAGACAAACAACTGTGTCCAGTTGGACCCGGCTTTGAACTGGAGACGTAAAACAGTGTGACACATCAGCGAGGCATGGGGCATGTGTGGAGATGGTTGGAGCATGGACCTATCACCCACGGTCATCTGGGTGCACAAAGAGCAGCTTCCCACCTATTTAACATCACAATCATTTATCAACAAGGCATGGTAGGTAAACAAGGTGGGAGGCTTGTCCAGATACAAGGGCAGACCCATACTAGTACTGAGCCTGGAAGGTGCTCTTGTCACATTACCTTTTACATCCATACCTTGTATGTGATTCTAAGACTAGGAGCTTTTTCCCTGATATTAAATTAGGGAAAGACCTTGTCATAGAATTGATTTAAATGGGGTATATGAAAGGTGGGCAGTATCAACACCACAGTGCCTTAAAAGAAGGTGACTGTAAGTGCATTCTATGATGGTCCTGTAAGAGTGTGTTAGGTATGATCTGAGATCAGATCTACTGGAACAGATGCCTCGGGGGACCTAAGCAGGAGGGTTTAGTTCCTGGATCCCAAAAGGGCTTAGGCAGAAGGTAAGCACTTATCTGCTTACTTCTGGGTAGGAACAAAAGCAGAACTTAAGGTTACTAGGAATATTTTAAGTCAAGCAAGGGACACATCTAATGAGTTTAGATGCATCCCAAGGTGATATAGCAGCTGAGCAAGAATTTTTTATGTTTGCAATTTTGGACTTCGGTACGTAATATTCACTCAAGTCTTGCCATAAGTGTCTACACTGCTCAAATATACACCATGCAGCATCAAACTGAGACCACGCTTTCCTACTCCATATGCACTACTTCCTGAATCAGAGACAATGCAGCCAGCTACTTTAGTGTGGCACTGAATGTGTGCCAATAAGCTCTGCTGAGAAACAGTGAGAGCAGTATGTGCACGCTGAGGTGGCTACAGTTCAGGAGGTTGAAGGTGTAGGGCAAGACATGACCTCATACAGCAATGCCTGGTGCTGTAACTGGGAATTACAAACATAAGTTCTTTATTGGATAGAGTTCCATGTTTGTTTGTTTCATACAGTGCCCTGGCTTGATTGAAGCCTCTGTGCTCTAGTTAACTTTTAAAATCTTACACAAATTGAGTTTTTAAAAGTAGTTTAAAGTCTCTCAAATGCCTAAAAGTAATATTAAACATTCCAATTACATTCAGTTTGCATGTTAAAAGATGTATATACCTAATATATTTATATGTGTATGCTTACCCCTCCTTCATATCATTGATAGGAAGTGGAACTCTGCCTCCTCTGTCTAGAGCTGAGGTGATGTTTATGGCATTCAAACGCTCTGGTTGCCATACATTTTTCACTGCTCCAAGAAAATCTCCAAGTACCTCACTTGCTAACATTTCTTCTACATTCATGTTCTTTATGAAGAATTCCGCTTGATAAGGTAAAGGAAAGTCTAGTTGTGAAGGAAAAGTTAGGTGTTCATTGAAGGTTCTCTTACAAAAGAACTAAAATAATAGTTGAATAATTATACAGCACTGCCTTATTGAGGAGACACCTGTTCAAAATACCTTACTTAGTATACCCCAAATCTGACTTGAGTATTCTTATTTCATTCTCAATTTCCTACCACCCCCCCCGCTTTTTTTTTTTTAATATCACCAGCTATTGTTTAAAGCAGAAGCACTCAAGATTGTCTTGGCAATGGTGCCTTTGACAGTTTGCATTGCTGAGTTCAGTGGAAAAATGGCAATTTTCATTAGGTAAGGATCTGCCAACTGAAGGCTAACGTGGATCTTTATTACATGGAGAAAATTATATTTATCCTGACTGAGAAGGAAAAGATGTGGCTTACATTGTGCTCCAACCTGCAGTACTCTATACCTTAAACCTGAATCACTTATAGGATGATGTAAACTCAACAAATGTCAACTCCAGGTTTGAACTGAAGGTAGTGGCAGGCAACATTTTAAGTTTCACTTTATCTGTCTTCTGTCTGAAAAATCATTTGCTTTACTGTGCATACCCAAAATTCATAAAATGTCACAATCTACAGCCAGGGTGGTCTTCTAGATTTTAAGACAAATCATTAGTATTGCTCTGAAGTTGACCCTTACTGATTTCAGATGTGAACTATGACATAGTTATTTGTTTAATGCAATACAGTTGGCAAGCTAGTCAATTGCCCAGTCTAATATTGTCAATTGACTGCATATATTTATTTTGACTGGTCAAAGATTATAGTAATGTTACCAAAAATACATTCTTTTGTCATTTTCTTGACAGAACTATTAATTTTTTACACCTTTTTAATGAACAGTCTGTGCTTTTTCTGTGCAGTATTTGGATCTATTGGCAATTTTTTACAATTTTTGACCAATATTTGACCAATCAATTGATCAAACTTTATTTGACTAGTCAGTTACCCAACCCTGTAATGTAAAATATCTAATTTTAACTTTTCAACTAGGGGTGCACCAATTGAGATTTTTGGGGCCAATACAGACACCAATTTTTAATGAGCCATATTGGCTGATACTGATCTGAATGCCAATATGTGGCCTGGCAGCTTGGAAAGCAGCGTCTGGTAAGTCTGAGGGGGGAAGGGGCATGGGGGAGGGAAGGGGCGAATGCAGTCCCTGTGGTGAGGGAGGGAGTGGGGCAGGAGCACAGATCCAGAGGCATATGCCCTCATGGCCTCTTGGGCTACATGTAGTGGCAGGAGCCACCATCCCGTCCCTGTACTCCCCAAGCCGCTGGTGACTCCATCCTGCATCCCACCCTGGCTGTGCAGCACCTGCCCCTGCCACTGCCTCTACCCTAGCCCCACTCCTTCCCTCAGTGAAGTCTGCCCCTTCTCCCAACAGACTTACCAACCAGACGCTGCTCTCCACACTGCTAAGCTGTGCTTCTGGCCTATGCTGTGGCTGTGCGCATGCATGCGGCATTTATTGGCGACATTATCGGCCACATCAGCCAAAAAAAGCTGATTGCTGATAATGTCAATTTTCCTTATATCAGTGCCAGTACAATATGGGACCGATGTATTGGTGTGCCTCTAATCTCAACAAAATTGATAAAGAGTATCCAGTGTCCTGCATCCCTACATTTTGGGGTATGCTTACATAGCAATTAAAATGTGATTGAAACACAAGTAGGGTATGCTTGCACTAGCTTTTAACTAACTGGTAAGGGTAATGAAAAAGACTTTAGCTAGCTATACCCAATGCATTCATATAAAATAATGTGGAAAAGCTGCTATCAGAACATGCAGTTTTAAGAAGAATTTTTAGTTGCAGGCAGTTTTGAAGACCATGTGAAAAGGAAAAGCAACCAGCAGAAGGCTGTAAGAAAATGCCCCCACTTTATCTTCAAACATTATGCTAGCTGCTTTTTCCTATGAACAAAGTCTTTTGGGTGTGTTTATTTTATATATCCAGTGAATACCAAATCAATGCAAATTCTTCCTTTATCACTTACACTCCTCTCTCACCAGACTGCACCACCAGTAATCCCTGCTAAATGTAGCCATCCAACCAGGTACTTATCTGCACTAGTGTGAGTTTCTTGAAAGTCCACTGACTTCAGAGATATTCAAGATTTACACCAGTATGAATAGGATTAGAATCTAGCATATTTTATTTATTTGGAGAATCTTATTCCATGAAAACTGGTCTCAAACATAGACAAATAAAAAGTACAACTGCCTGCTTTGCAAAGCAACCTGTATTTTGAAGGTTACAACTTGTCTAAGCATTTGCTTTTAATATAATTAAATTCATATTTCCTAAACATGCTAAAAACAGTGTATTGATTGTCCTTGATACCATTTCAAAATCCTAATATCATTACTGTGAGGACAACACTGGGAAATTCAGTTTACTTCAGTGGAGCAGAACCTTATTATGATATTGGTGAATGTGACCCAATGTCACGGACTTAAGAAAACACTTATCAATCTATACTTTAAAGATTAATCCTGAATTTACCCCAAATATGCAAAATAATGCTAACATCCCCATCTTTAACTGTTCTGTTCTTTAACTTTAAAGGCTAGAGGTGCTTCTCAAATATCATTACTATATACCTACCATTACCATTGATGTGCAAAACAAATAATTTGCAGGAGGGCTAAACGAGTTCTATGTAGTCTAGATGCTAAAAACAAATACAGGCAGTCCTCAGACTTATGACACAATTGGTTCTTGAAAACTGCATCTTAAGTCAAAACGTCATAAGTTGGAACCAATTTTCCCCTAGGAACAGTGTTATAAACGGGGGATTGGTTCCTTTACAGCTGTTGATACAGCTGTGTTGAGCTGGTAAGTCCATTGTGGTAGAAAGTGAGGGGGAAGGGAAGGGAAGGGGTGTGTGTGTGTTGGGGGGGGCAGATCAAGTTCCCCATGGTGAGGGAGGGACTGGGGCAAGAGCTGCCCACCCAGGGCCAGGCAGGTGCAGGACTGAGCTGCAGCTTGTCGGGGAGGAGTGGGGAGGGAAGGGGTGGTACCTCCTGCCACTGTGCGCTGCTCGTCTGGTGGCTCATCCAGCAGTTCCCACCACTGCTCCTGCCACTTGTCCAGGAGGGCATGGGGTGGGG